AAAGGCAAGAAACAGCATGTGTGCAAAAATCTCAAAGCTCTTCATCTCACCAGCAGCGGCAGTAACAAAGAGACTGAGCTTCTCACCAGAGAGAGGTGTGTCAGCCTTACTCACTACTTTCCAGGCTGACACATTCTTAGTTCCTGCGACTTAGCACTGCACAGAAAAAGGAGCTGAGAGCTGTAATATGGTGAACAAGACTAATTAAGCTTTATTAGACTACCAGCTTTCAAGCTTCATGTAAAAGAAGATAATTTCATTCTGACAGTTTCAAAGTACTTGGGAAAGGCACACATGTATCTGAGGGAGTGATTGTGAAACCAGGCCCGATAAATTGATTTTCCCAAGGTCACATGCTCATGCAAAGCAAGCAGCACGCGACTCGACCCCATGGGGTTTTATTTCAGGAAGCAAAGACCAGCAACGCTCATCAAAACCTGCAGAGCTGTGAGTCCTACCAACAGCCGACAGAGAAACGCCTGGACGCTGCTGTGTGTTTGGTCTGAGGCACGTGCGAGTCACAAGGGATGAAAATCGCGTGGAAGCCCGTTTCGGAGCCCTCACCGGTGTACACCATCACTCCACTGATCACGCCAGGCAGAGCACGTGTGTGTTTGCTGACAGCACAGGAACCAAACTTCATGTTTGCAGTGCGTGCCTCAGGACACCCCGCCAAAGGCAGGGCAGGGCTCACCTTAGCTGCCACCGTCCGGAGTGCCAGCCTGGCTAACTAAATATAAAGCCCATTTAACCCCCCATACCGGAATAGCGATATATTTACTTATCTACAAGTCACATGAAGTTGAAGCCAGCTGGGTCAGGAATAGTACTGCACAGCAGTTTACGGGCGGGCAACAGCGAGAAAGGGAGAAAAAGACTCAAGAGGGGAGCACTCAACTCTGGCCTCCCCGCCGCCGGTAGCACGGAGGGGTGGGCGGCGACCCCCACAGCCGGGGAGGCACCGCGGTGCCCCTCACCCGCACACTTCCTGAGCGGGCGGCCCCAGCCTGCCGCCACCCCGCGCGGGGACGGCCCCGCTCAAGCTGCGGCCCCCGGCGGACTCACCCATGGCGGAGCGGGGCCGCGGGCCGGCCGGCACCGCCTCCAGCACGGAGCACAGCAGCGCCAGGCTGAGGGACAAGCGGGCGGCGCGTCTCCCCCGCAGCTCCATGTCGGCCCTGTCGGGAGCGCCCTGCCCGCCGAGGGCCGCTCATGTGATCGGCCCAGCGCGGAGAAAAGGGATGAGCCCGGAACGGCTTGTGAAAGCTTGGGCGCTCCGCTGCCTCCCCCGGGCAGCCGGAAGCCGCCGCTGCGCCCCGCCCGTACCACCGGGGGCCAAAAGCCGACCCCGGCCGGGGTCCCTCACTTGGTGCTTGAAGGGGGGCAGTTGCTGTGGCCTTGGCCAGATGTGCCGGGAATCGGGGTGGCCTTCAGGAGGTGCCACCCCTGGCGAAGCACTGGCACCTTGAGCACCTCGTAGGAGCTAGCCTAGCCGCGGGCAGGGCTGCATTCAAGGCACCGGCAGATCTGAGACGGGCGCGAAGCTTCCTTTGGGAGCCCCTTCCCCGCTCGGCCTGTGGTGCTCAGCGGGCCTGTTCCTTCGGGCCGTGGGGCTCTAGCAAGGGATTATGGCTTTCCAAAGCGGCTGGGACCTGTGGCTGAAAATTCTTCCCACCTCCCGAGCCAGCCGTAGCCCTGGCAGTGCGAAACTGACTGCAGTGTGAGCCCCGGGGCACAGCTGCCCCGAGCTGCCCGCACCAGGAGTCGGGGACATATTTAGGAAGGGGCGTTTCTGACCTGAAGTATACTTGTAATAATGGATCGTGGTTACTTAATACGCTTTAAAATGTAAAATGCTGATGAATTGATCAAGTACACATTTAATACCTCTTAAGGAAAACGCTGAGGTGTATTGTGAATATGGGTTTCCATTGTTAAGGCTTCATGGTAGCAGAGTGGCTGTTCATTGCTGAAGTCAGAGTAGTTTCCAGAGAGGAGGAGTACTCGGTGTCAGTTTTAGGAGCAGACCACAATAGTGACATCATGGATCCCATGGCTGCCTTCAAACGTCCTACTGCTCACTGTTCTGTTCAGACCAGCTTTCCAGGGCTGGAAGTCCTGTGTATTCATATTTTCCTCACTTTTCCACTCCTCTGAGCAATGCTGTAGGCACTTCACAAGCACACTTCTCCACTTACTGTTCCCTTATTTAATTTGATGTTAGTATTGTTTATCTTTGGAATAGCAAAAGACTTCCCCAAGAAGCTTTAGGATGGCTTCATGTGACTTACGGAACATATATATGTAGAGAAAAGTAGCTTTTCTTTAAAAGTAACTGAAATGTAAAATATTTACTATTCAGTTTTTATTAGTAAACCAAGTCTTAACAGTGCCTGTGTATTCCTTTTCTCATATTTAATACATTTTCTATTCATGATCACACAAATCACTTGTTCTGAAGATGAATGCCGGTACCAGGGATCTGGAAGTCTGGTTTCCCTGTGATGAAGGAAAAGCAGCTGCTCCTCCCTGAATGGGGTCGCTGGGAAGGACAATCATGTGGTGAATGCACACATGGGAGAACAGGCAGCAGCAGAGGGGAGGCAGGTGAAAGCTGTATTGGGCACCGAAGCTAAGGATTAAATGAGCTGATAAACCCAAGGGCAAAACATGCTGTTTAAACATAAGTTGCACTACAACAACTGAAGCAGCACAGAACGGAAGAGTTTGCAACTCCTCATACCACTGTAACAAACTGTACCTTTCATTTCTTCAATGAAAAAAGTTAACTTGTAGATTTTAAAAACTATTAATATCCACCCAAGCCCCCATATTTGTAATGGTTCAGAATTAAGGACTCTGTCTTCTAGATGTACAGTGCTCCCCACAAGAGAAAACAAACTTGGATGTTCCTTTCAGGCAGCTTCTTTGTAAAAAAGTAAATGTAATAACATTATATTTTGTATTTGCATTGGCTAGGTGCTATAGTTATGCCTAAATTTTATGAGATGAGGTACCCATGTTATCCTAGCTATCCAGGGAATCAAGAAGCCATTTTCCATTATACCATGTAGCAGATGTGAAGGATGGCACAGCACAGTATTAGGTCTGGGAAGTTGGGCGGGACACCCCTCCTGCACCTCCTGCAGCCACAAACCCTCAGAATGCTGACTCATTAAAGACACAGCTCAGCTGTGCCTTTGGTTGAAAGGTGGTAAATAGCTACACCTCCTCCATGTGGTTTGCTGAAATCAGTGTGTCACAAAGCATGGACTCCAAACTATCTTAACCATGCTGCCAGCAACCTTTTTCTTTATTCCTAAAAATCTGAAGTGTAAGGCAGTTTTTCCCACACTGGTCTTTCAGGAAAATACTCTTCAGGAATAAGGTTTTCATTTATCACAGTATGCTAGAGATTGGAAGGGACCTCGAAAGATCATCTAGTCCAATCCCCCTGCCGGAACAGGAACACCTAGATAAGGTTACACAGGAATGTCTCCAGAGGAGACTTCGCAACCTCCCTGGGCAGCCTGTTCCAGTGTTCTGTCACCCTCACTGAGAAGAAGTTTCATCTCAAGTTTAAGTGGAACCTCTTGTGTTCCAGTTTGTACCCATTACCCCTTGTCCTATCGTTTGCCACCGTGAAAAGCCTGGTTCCATCCTCATTTATATACACTAATAAGGTCACCCCTCAATCTCCTCCAAACTATAGAGACCCAGCTCCCTCAGTCTTTCCTCATAAGGGAAATGCTCCACTCCCTTAATCATCTTAGTTGCCCTGTGCTGGACTCTCTCCAGCAGGTCCCTGTCCTTCTTGAACTGAGGGGCCCAGAACTGGACACAATATTGCAGATGGGGGTCTCACCAGGACAGAGTAGAGGGGAAGGAGGACCTCTCTCGACCTACTAACCACCCCCCTTCTAATACACCCCAGGATACCATTGGCCTTCTTGGCCTCAAGGGCACAGTGTTGATTCATGGTCACCCTGTCGTCCGCTAGGGCCCCCAGGTCCCTCTCCCCTACACTGCTCTCTAACAGGTCGTTCCCCAACCTATACTGGAACCTGGGGTTGCTCCTGCCCAGATGCAGGACTCTACACTTTCCCTTGTTATATTTCATCAAGTTATTCCCTGCCCAACTCTCCAGCCTGTCCAGGTCTCTCTGGATGGCAGCACAGCCTTCTGGCATGTCAGCCACTCCTCCCAGCTTAGAGTCATCAGCAGACTTGCTGATAGTACACTCAATTCCCTCATCTAAATCGTTGATGAATATATTAAATAATACTGGTCCCAATACTGACCCTTGAGGCACTCCAGTAGATACAGGCTTCCAATCTCTTTCAAATAGCATTTTAAGTTGCTCATAGTGGAAATTGTCATCTCCTGTACATATTAGGTAAGAAACTACAGCCCAGGGAGGGGAATCTCAGAAAGTTTGTCTTTTGTTTTCCCTTTGTTCTCCTCCCACTCCTCTAGATCCTGATGAAAGATAAGCTTTGTATCTCAAGTTCCCTAAGTCCTGCCCTTTATCATGCTGGTCCCAGTGCCTTCCTCCCACCCCGTGAAACTCTTCAATCTTTTCACTTTGATTTACATCAATCCTTTATATATGAGCAAAGAATCCCACCAAAACAAGTTAAAAACTCTCTTAACCATTAAAACCAAAACTACAGGATGCTCTGACACCAAAGGCTAGCAACTGACCTTAAAATGCACTGGGTAACAAGCTCCAAGTGAAGACATGAACTGAAACTGGCTTGAGGCTCTCTCTTCTCTGCCCACATATATAATGACAGGGGCTTAAGTTTCTCCAGCAAAAAGAAGTCACTGAAGTAAAGCATAGCAATTTTTAATTTCCCATGTACTCCACACCACAAAGAGAGAGGCTGCTGCAGCACTGTGTACTATAAATCCTTTTCTGTTGTTTAACTCTGAAGAAGAAACTTGAAACAACTCCCTCCAGAACACTGAAATCTTAGCAGATTAAATGCAAAAGGAGCACAGGTTTAAAAAACTTTTTAATTTCTGTTTGATCAGCAATCCAAAACAATTCAAATATGTTCAATTTACTGTTAAAAAAGGGGGAGGGGCAAGTGTTCCAGAAATTTAATGCCAGGGTTAACCTATTTCACTAGACAGGACAAGCACGCCAATTTGATGGTATAAAGTTGTTCTTTTAAAAAAAAAAAAGAAAAAAAAACACAACAAAAACCACATCCCTCAAACTATTAACCTTTCATGCCAGAAATGTGCTTTTTAGCTATGTTTGATTATGGACAGTACGTTAATCCATCCAGCAGAAGTAACATCTGGACAGAGGTCAGGTAAACTCTATGCTTTCTCATAATGGCGAACAGCAACCACATCACCAAAAGTGAGAGTCTGCAAGTCCAAGGAAAAGAGAGACACATTAGATGCGGACCGTTTTCTGTAATAACACATATTAAGTCAATTTTAGATCAGGGTTGGTTTACATTTTCTTATTTATAGAAACACAGATTAGTCTAGGTTATTGATATTTTAAATGAAAAACAGGCAAAACCTTCACTATGGTTCCCATCATAAACATAACTTTCTCATTGCTATTTTTAATCCCAGGAAGCCCATAATGCACATTTACAAGGCAACTGAAAGGACTGTTCAATTTTTCTAATTTTCATGAATGTAGTTTCTTAAATATAGCATTGTTTTAATACAGACTTAACACTTGTTTTCTGAAAGCTGATCATACTGCAAGATGTGCTGTCTAAAACTCCAAGTCCTCTACATCCATATTCTATACTATTTTGCATAGGCATATAATTAAGAAGAACCTGGTATTACAATACATGTATTCTGTGCACTTATGTAGTTAGAACTACCAAGTGTTTCAGTTGCTGCTGCTGTACAACTACAGTAAATACAGTAACTACAGAACAGTAACCACAGTGTGTGATTTTGGAGGTATTTCTAGAAGTGGAATAATGAATCTCACAGTGTTCAAATTCTGAAGGAAGAAAATTTTCTGTATATGCATGCAGCTGTTTCCAAAAACAAAAGCATGTATTTTTCCTTAAACTGTTTGTCGCATAGGGTTGCACTGACTGTATGCTTTAAGCTTTTAATCATTTGGAAATCTCAATCCATACAGGTACTCTCTGAAGTATTTAGAAAACAAGCTAACTGGTTCTCTCCAACAGCAAAGTTGCATAGATCAGTATAGCTGAAGGAGTTTTTATTTTTGAAAGTGCCAAAAATAAGCATGAGAAGTACCACCCTGAACAGTAAGATAATAACTTGTACCAGTTATTCATCCCATGCTGCTGTTTCTGAAAAGTCAGGAAACAAACATAAATTTAAACCAAGACTTTTTTTTTTTCACAGAATTGTTGTTTATTGTAGTTTTTAACAAGATTGCTTAATGTTTATCTTTTTAGCAAGATAAGAGTGCTAAATGCTGTTAAATTCTGCAATATTGCAGTTTTATTTTCCTAGAGAAACACTTGTTCTGTGTAATTAAATATTATTTGTGTGCATATATAAACCACATTTTTAAAGAAATTAAATTAATACTAGAAACTGATCACTGCCTATGTAATCGAGAACTCTGTATCTTTTCCAGCTCACCATGACTTTTTTTCCTTTTTCGTGGACATTTCCGCAATCTCTAGGGAGAACGTATACACTCTGGAAGTCCAGAGGGCGGCCTGCCTACAACCACTAGCAATGCTTTAGCTGTCAGTAAAACAAGATAGCAAACAAAACAAATATTTGAAAAAATCTCTGCTAGCTTTTCACACCAATTAGTTTAAGGGTTTGTGTAGGTAACACTACCTGTTCATAAAGCTCAAGATAAATGTAAGTGAGGAGTGTTAGCAGTTTATGTGAATGATCAGTGAGCTTTATACTTACCATTACCATTTTGCCGTCCTTGATTTCTCTCACAAAGTTTGTCTCTTTGCCGTCCCACTTCTGTACATGCACTAGCTTGTTGCCATCCAGGGTCACAACTGACTGTGAGATAGCAAGAGACACAAAGGCATTCATTTGTTTGGGGTATTTGGGATTCTGCTCACACATTCAGCTCGCACTATTTTATTGAATTCTCTCCAATAGATGGATGTGGATCTAGAATGATAAAGTAGTCCCAGCCATTTTTAAGCCAAGCCCATGAATCATCCTCATTTTAAGCATGAGTTCCATACAATTCTTGTTTGTGTCAAAGGATGAAAAAAGTTGTTTCCTTTTAATTCCAGCCTCACAAGAACCACTGTTTCAGCTGTGCTTTGGGATAACACTAATGTTAAGCCCCCAGAGATGCTGGGAAGAAGGCATTTGTCCATTTTGCCTGGGAAAAGTTATGCCAAATGATATTTGGATTGAAAGAAAAGCAGGCAGCTCACACAGTTTGACACAGGGGGATAACACATTGTTTCAGACAAGGAATAGTGTAATCTGGCAAGTAAGATGCAACGTTGTCTTTTATTTCCCTGTCCTTCAGTGCTACAACTGGCAGTAGCAAAAGTTACTTGTTTTTTCCTTTGACCCCTCCAAAGATACAGCCGCGGGGGCGGGGAGAAGAAAGAGAAAATGAGGCCTCTGCAACCCCAAAAGTTCCACTTACTTTGCAGTTTCTGTCATCGGGGGTAGTTTCATCAAATTCCTCTCCAAGTTTAAAGCTGATTTCTGTGTTTTTGAAAGTGCTTTGAGTCCTGATCACTACTTTGTCCCCCTCGGTGCAGATAATCACAGTGGGTTTAGTCACATTCCCCACCTGCCGTGTTGCAAAACCCACTCCTAGACCATCAAGGGAAAAAAGAGAAATCCATCAGACATCGGGGGTTTTTTTACATCTTTTCTGCCACACACTGAGGTACAGAAATCTCTTCCCTCGCTCTACAGCTTTAAGCTACCACGGTGAAAAGCTAGTTTCTGCTTCACTTACGCCCTTACACTTGAAGTATCCACAGGTTCTCCTCTATACACATAAAGCTGTAGCTCTGAGCCCTCCCTCATCTCCAAGTGCCCTGGCACGGAACCAAAGCAGCGGCCCGTCCGAGTTCGGAGCGGGCAGCAATCACTTCTCTCTTCTGCTGCTCAGGGTTTCGGTTCGTTAGCATTCCTTGTAACGATTTCTTGTTTGTTTGCTTGTTTCCAGCTTATCTGCAGGCAGCATTTGCCCTTCTTGCAGACGCTCTCCCTAACCGGGGGGCATCTCCCGCCGTCTCCCCACGGCAGTGGGTCTCTCAAACACGCACACATACCTCGGACGGATGACCCGGATCGACGTAACCCCACTGACAAGGACCCAGCCGCCCATACCCCCTCGCCCCTGCGAGCGCCTTAGCTACACCTCTGGCAGCGGGGGGATTTTTTTAAGTTATTAATGTAGGGTTCTTAGGGTGGTGTAAAATTCCAGGTCTCTGAGCGTGCAGCTGCCGCCCGGCCGTACCTACCCAGCGCCTTCATGTACTCGTCGAAGTTCTGGCTGTCCACCAGCTTCCAGGTGCCGCAGAAAGCCTCTGCCATGGCGGCGGCCGCCTGCGAGAGCGACAGCGGTAGCGACGGATGGCGAGAAGCACCGCGGCCGCCGCTCCGCTCCGCATTTAAAGCCGGCGCCCGGCGGGGGGCCGGGAGGCGGAGGGCAGCTGTGGTCCGCCCAGCTGGCCCGCACGGGGACGGGCGCCCCTCCTCCTCGCCGCCGGGGCAGGGGCAGGGGCAGGGGCAGGGCGGGCTCCGCTATGGCCGCCCCCCAGGCCGCGGCACACGGCGGGACACTGAGGGGCAGAGGGTGGTGGGTTACCTCCGCCTAGGGCACCATTTCTTGCTAAAGCCGCCCAGCGGGCAGCCAGCAGCCGCCTGCGTTGTGGTGTCCCTGATAAAGTGACACGGACAAAAAGAGAAGGCACCAACCGCGATATATTCTACTGAATAAAAATACAGGATAGCAGTGTACTGCAGGACAGCTTTCCTGAAAGCTCTCCCGTGAGATTTTCAAGCCCAATTTGGTGTTGACCAGGTAGAGACCACTTTCCCCCTCCATCTCATGGCATCCATAGGGATTCTGGGTGAAACTGGCATTTGCTGTTGTTGGCTGGAAACAGCATCTTGCCTCCACAGCTGGCAGCATTTGGAGACTAAGAATGAAGAATGAAGGAGCCTAAAACTGTTTAATCTATTATGGGATTTGTGTGTGTGTGTTAGAGAGGGAATGTTTTCCTTCTTGTAACTGTTCTCTGAAATTTGCGGCAAGTTCTGGGTAGTCATCTTGCCTCCTCAGTGTTTTTCAGAAAGCATCCTGTCTTTCTGTGGGATGTGCCATGGTGTCAGCTTTTCCAAATCTATGGCTTGGATGGATTTCAGAGCCATGAATCTAGCTCTTCAGCTCATAACAAAACTCAGGGACTAGGTGGAATAGGCTTTCTGTGATTTAGGAACAAAACCCCAGTAATTTTCTACTTAGTTCAGCCATGCAAAATATAAATAATTATTAATACTTTCCTGGTATTTTTAAATCTGGTTTTGACTGTCATTTGCCTTTTTCAGGCTCCTGTAGTATGGCATGTTCCCTGGGTGTAGAACAAGTGATGCTGCTCATTGGATTTTAATTCAATTTGCCATTTTTCCCTTTGTCCTCTGAAAGAATTAACCCCCCTCTGAATTAACTCCAGGAATATATAATTGTAATCCCTTACCACAACACAATTTTCATTAGACTTGATAACCTCAGGGTATGAACCAGTGTGTCTGTTTCTTTTTAACCTTCCATTTACTTACTTTGAAGTGCAGTGAGAGACACAAACTGCCCTTCTCCAGCTGCTCAGTTTATGTCCAAATTTCTCTTCTGACCTGCAGTTCTGAGACTCAGAAAGCCAGGGAGAGTAGAGCATCACTTGAAGTAACAGACCACCAAGTGTTGTTCATGAGGCTGAAAGGAATCAAGTCCCTTTTTTTCAGACAAAGTTGAATGATGCTGTATCTCCAGAGTTTGCACAGTATACCAGCCTTACTGGTGCATCTCATACAGATGTCTACTAACCTAATGTCCATGGTCAGTCAAACAAACAAATGAGGAATCTGCTTTTTGATTGTCACTGTCATGGCATGGAGCATTCAGGACTGACATTCTGCATTTTGGAAAGTGTTTCCTCAATACAGTAATATTATCAAGTATTTAGTAGTGTTCACCACCCATAGCTTAACTCTCTTTGCAGCAGTGGTCTCAAAGAGCTTCATCGCTGGCACATCAGGCAGCTGATATGGAAGCAAGTACAAACTGACCTCACCACTCATCTGACACTACTGGACTCCTGAAAGACATTTCTGCCTTGCACCTTCTTCCAGACAGCACTGCAGCCTGGCCCTTGGGAGGTAGCCACTTCAGGATCTTTCACAATTTAAGCAATCATACTTACACCAATGTCTCTTTTCTACCAGGATATCTCAACACATAGCTAAGACAAGCAGCTAGTCTTAAGAAAACTATATTCTTCAACACTTTGCCCCATGCTTCAGATGTAAAATAGCATCTGCTAAAATGTCCACATTCCTTCTGCTACTTAGACTACCAAAGTCATCACACCAGGTTTTATGGTCATGAGATTCCACCTGTTAGTGATGATTTGGGAGCAGGATAAATCACCAGTAGGAAATGTTACATGATTGACACCTTGTGGGGTGACAAGCCACAGCCAAAAATGTTTTCCATGGCATCTTATGCCCTATATTTGCTTGTGGATCATTACGTGAGAGTTGTGTTAGTGTCAACTGCTAGTATAAGTTATCCTGATCTATGTAAATGCTTTGCTATGTCTGGAATGGAGATCACAGTGTGGAATACACTGACCTGGTGTGCATTTAAGAGACCAGCTTGGAGTTTCCCTTATGCTGTCAGCATGCTGAGTTTGAAGGTTTTAACAGACTGTGTGCTCCCCTGTAAAAAGCCTGTGTGATGAGATGCCTCTGTAGATTCCTCTCTGAACACTCCTTTACACAAACTTCTTAAACCTGAGCAGTGTAAGTAGGCACATTTGCATTGTCTGCACAAGGCCTGCTTGAAAGATGGAAGCGCTGTGGCAAGACATCCCTGTGTAATAAGTAATCCTTTCTCCGAAGGCCATCCAGGGTGAATATTGGACTGCTCTAACCTTCAGCCTTTGAATATAGGGCACAAAACCTGCTTTTGCCTACCTTTCCCCCCTGCTATAGCACCGCTTCACATGCCCTCAGGCATTCAAGGGTCTTGGCCTCATTCAGCCTTCATTCAGTCCTTGAAAAAAATATTCACTTGTTCAAAGAAAAATATAGGAGGGGGGAACACTACAAGATGGTCACCAGGCTCCTAGAGTAGAACAGTCTGATAAAGAGGTTCTCTCCTGTGTCAATTTCTCATAATTAATGTCAGGAACTGCTGAGCATTTCATCACAGTCAGTCAGTAAGGGCTTAGTAATATGGTTATTTAAGTATAGTGAAATTGATGCAGCTAATGTTTGAAGTCAGGTTTATCTATCCTTCTGTGGTGTCCCTCTGTGGATCTAACTCAGGAGGGGCACTCTTGCTGCACCAACTCAGCTAAATGTATCCTTTCACCATCCTTGCAGTATAATAGACAGGAATAACACATTACTCTGTAAATTTTCATCAGTAATTAAGGGGATGCTATATTATAAGATAATTTAGTGATGACTGCATTATTCAAGCATTTCTATGTTCAAGCAATGACCCTGAACTTCTGAGCATCTTGTACCATGTGTGCCACAAAGGATAGCAGTGACACCAAGGCCTAAGTCCCCTGGTACAGAACCAGATGTAGGCAGTCAGAGGCCCTTTAGATACTGAATCCTACTGAAAGCCAACATGATTTTCTCATAGTAATTTTGGTAATCTCCTAGCATTCTGAAACATATAGGGGGCTACTTAAGAATTAAGGAAATTGAAAAAAACGTGTAGATGAAAGTAGAAATGATTTCCTCCATTTATAGGCAGTGGACTAGGGTATTATTGGCACATTTTAACTTTGTGTGAAGCCCTGCTGTGAATCTCTGCACAGCTTTGATCTCAGTGTAGTGCAGAAATGACCAAATTTTAATAGCTATTGTGTCAGATGGGATGATGTTGCTTCAGGGCTGAGTGTAATTTGATCTTTTGGTGCTGCAGAAAAACCTAGTATCAAGCAGGGCAATAGAAGGTCCTTAACTAAAGTTATCTCTTGTGTCCTTTAGCTGTCTAAGAGATTTGCTGATCCCCCTAATAAAAATAAACTATCTCAGTGCTGTTGGCGATTCACAGAAAATCACTAGGTTTACTCTATTGATGGACAGCTCTTCAGAAATCCCAGTTTAAACAAAAGACTTAAATACCTTATGGAGAAGACACCCAATTATGCAGATGCACAAGAAAGTGGTCACAGAATGGCCTCAGCTACAAAACAGATGTATGAATCCAGTCTTACGCTGCATAAATGCTATGGGAAGGGCTTTTGGAAAGAACAGGTGATAGGCAAGGTGCAAGGTAATGCAGTCAGGAGCAGGGAAGATGTGTTTATACCGTATCCCTTCTAAGAGCATGGCATAACTTAGGCAAGGCTTAGGAGCATGTCACTGTAAAAAGCTCAACCAAAATAATGCCAGGAAGGCTAACATTAGAGCAAGAGTCATGTTATGGTCTAGTTCTGGAGGGTTTTGCTAATTCGTGAAAACGAAGTGCTCTGTGATCATGCATTTCATTCTTGCAGGCTCTTTCTTACGTTACAAATTGGTGCGACATGCGATTAGCAGAGTCCTGGAAAGTAAATACCCACTAATACCTCATTATGAACTATTAGACATTTATTCGGATTGGTTTAAGCTGAGAGGACAGCTGCTTGACAATGGCTTAAAGAAGGAAACAAATACTGCCAAATATCTCCAGGGTCTTCTCTGCTCCTTACATGCATTTAGAGGGTTGTTATCTGCTGTCTAATACTACAGTAGCTATCATCTAGAGGACTCAAGTAGGAGGCTCTCCTCAAAGAATTACCCTCCACTAAAGCCAGCCACCTTCCTGGCTCACAGTTCTATTTATTGAAGATGCAGTTATTTTAACTTTGTGCCATTAGGCCTTTGTTATTTTAATATTTGTCTTTGCTTGATTTTGTGTTTAAGAGTAGAAAAAGTATTTAAAATCCTCTACAATGTAACAGAAATCTCTGATACTGAGTGTCACTTACAATAGCTGTCTAGTTACCATAAAATCGATACACAAAATCAGCTGTCCAGACTTACAAATTCAGCATGGCCAAACGCAAGGAGGAAATAAATACAGTCTGTCGTGGTTTAAACCCAGCCAGACAGCTTTTCACTCACCACCACACCCCACCCCCCCTTCTTGCCCTCCCCCTACTCCTGGAGGGACAGAGAGGAGAATCGAAAAGAATGCAACTCCCACAGGTTGAGATAAGAACAGTTTAGTAATTAAGGTATAACACAAACCACTACTGCTACCACCAATAATAATAATGATAAAGGAAATAACAAGGGAAGGTAATACACCACCTCACCAAGCCGACTGATAACTCGCCCCCCCAGCCCGACCAAGCACCGACCAATACCTCCTCCAACCCCGCAGTCCACTAGCCCTTCTGGGTAACTCTCATTACCTCCTGGACATGATGTGCTGTGGTATGGAATACCTCTTTTGTCAGTTTGGGTCAGGTGTCCTATCTCTGCTTCCTCCCAGCTTCCCTCCTCCCTGGCAGACCATGAGGCTTACAAAGTCCTTGGCCAAACCAAAACATCATTATCAGCTCTGTTCCCAGCCTGAAAGTCAAAACACAGCACTGCACCAGCTACCAAGAAAGAGAAAAATGACTGCTACTGCTAAACCCAGGACACAGTCTTATAAATAAGCAACTGACTATTTCAGGAGTAAATAAGGTTAAATAATCCTTATGTGCATGAATGGAAAATATCACATAGGTTTAAAGAGATTAGGTGACTTGCATTTGACTTGTTGCAACTGATTCTGGAAGACTTGTGTAGATTTTGTGTTCAGAGCAGCCCAGTGAGAATATCAGAGGAGCAGAAACACACCCTGTATCAAGGTCCAAAGATTCTGTACTATAACAATCCTAGGGAATGAGTTTTATTAAAAGCAATATAAATTTTATGGCACAGGTAATCTCTAAACGTCATAGTCCGTAGTCCTAGTTTACGCCTTGAAGGCTGTGTAACACTTAATAAATGTGACTATTTGGAATTCAGTATAATCGACCTCAAGCTAAATCCTTGCAGGATAACAAAAGACAACTTTGCAGGACTGGATTTAAGAAACTTTTGGAATAGCACAATACACCTTAGTCCTGTTTGCCCATACTGAAGCACTCCATTTGCTGTGATATCCTGAAATCACTCTCAAGACCATCTGAAATTTAGACAAAAAATAAAGTCAGCCTTATTTGACTGAAATACAAATTTAAGAAAATAACCACTAAGTTTGGAGAACAGATGTAAAGCAGTAACTGAGGTCATTAGCTACCTGTATTTAGATATTGCCTGGGTCCTCCTCTGTTCCACTCGGCTATGGATTAACAGGACAGAGTCAAGGCGCGCTGGAGCCAGAAGTGATCCCTCAGATGCAGCTGGAGACACACTCCTGGGTTTGTCTCTTCTAAATTGGAATCTCTCCGCCAAAGCAAACCGTTTCCTCCAAAGTTCTGAACTAGCACTGGGTTACAGGGAGCATTAATGCACCCCTGAAAAATGTCTGAATTCCACAGTTTTGATAAATAACATATAGGTTATCAACTTATGGGCCTGTTGATGGAAAAAAAAAACCTGACAGCAGACAGAGGTGCTTCTTGAAATGAAACTCCATGCTGGATGACCTAGGCAGAATTACACATCTAACTTGCTTCCTTCAAGAGTGCAATTATATCCCTGCTTTTACATACTGGTTCGTGACAAAGCATTATGTCATTTCTGAGTTTGAATGGGTCTAAATATTAAAATTCCCGGAACACGAAACTCTATAGAGTAATTTGAAGTATTACAGGGCTATGATAGCTCATTACTAGCCTTAAAGAGGGACCTAGTACCAAGACAATCTTGGAGAAAATTTCAGTCATCCTGCTTTTTGCAAAGAATCCCAGAGAAACAGAATAGAGTGGTCTCCAGCCCAGTATACAAAACTCCAGTCACTGGAAATTAAGCCTAGAGAAATTTATATTAAAAATGAAGTACATATTAGCTGTGATGAGACTTCGCCCCTTGACCAGCTTTCAAAATGCCTTATTAGACTTTTCATCCCTATAAGTAAGCTTTAACAACTACAGCCATTAGACATGATGCAGGAAGTAATTCAGAGAAGTTGCATATCCTGGATTATTCAAGGAGTCACATGAGATGGTCACAATGGGCAAGTCTAAAACAGGAAACTTTAGAACATACCCCACTTGCTATGTTTGTTCTTTGCCAAAACAAAGTCTATCATGGGAAAAGATAAAGATACGCACAGAAAGTAAAACATGTGTGTAGTCCCTGCCTGGATAATCAATGGTCTCACTTTCTGGACTATACTGCAGCAAGTGCCATTGGGGAAGTATAGACACACCCACTATTCCTTTATTTCTACACATCCATGTGTATATTCCAAAAGATTTCCCCCTCAGTGTGTCAGTTGTAAACATAACCCAGACCCTCTATGGATCACAAAGTCTGTAACTAATCCTGTAATAGTTAAACAAGGCTTCTAATAGCGTCTTCCTCCAGACCTTTGAAACTTTCTTGAGCACTGCAGCCACAGCTCAGAACATCCATAGTCCAGAGCCAGTGGAGGGTGCAGGAGCAGGCTGATTCACACCACAACAGGCTCAGCTGTTCTGCTAAAAGAAGGGCTATGGAGAGAAAACACAGCACAGCTTTCATGCCTGTAACTCCACCTCACTGTTCTTTGTTTCCCCTCCTCCCTTAAGTATACTCCTTCTTACATTTTATTTTATCCTTTATAAATTTAACTAAAAGTTTCCACTCGTAACAGCCAACTTTAACATCATCAGGAAAAAAAGATGCAAAGTCAAGTGTTCAAAGGCTGCCTGAAAGAACGTCTGAAACTTATTTCAGCACTTTCTTATATTGCAACACCATCCCTATTTGCATAATCACAAGCTATTTTTGTTCTAGAGAAGCTTTTTTCTCAGTGCTCAAGACAAAAACTATTCAGGGACAAGCTCAAGGGTCTTTAATGCGTCTGTCTGGTATATAAGATCTCTGCCCAGGACTTGCTGGGAGGAATAGCAATGAGCTGTCCTTCTACCATCTCATTTTACCAAATGTGGAGGCAATTAAAGAAATTAGTTTCTTATATTGGCTGTTTGAAGCAGTAACAGTTGATGTTGGGCATAAATCAGGAGGTGTAAGTGAGCAAAGCAAGGGGTGAGCAGTACTGAGTAGGTGAATGGGAGCTTTGAATGGAGCTAGATGAGAAATTCAGAGTGCTGGAAGGAATGGTATTATTGAGCAATTAAAGTAGAAGATAGGTACTAAATTGGTGGGAGGAACAAGAAGGTTGAAAACGTGTATCTGCTCCGCGGATGCATGCATGGCTGTTTTACACTTAAAGGGTGCTTTTCTCCTGTGGTGCACAGGATAACGTGGCTTAGCCCCTGCTCGCTGTTGTCTGCTGGATGTGGCTTAGGCCACTGCTAGGCAGAACCCACCTACTGGTGCACTGGGCGGCTGTGTACAGGTGTCTGCCAAGTCACGGAGGTGCTGCTGGGGAATGGTGGCCGTCCAGGAGTGATAGCTGTGCTGGAGACTCAGAGTTGACGTAAATAAACTGCTTGTTTAGCTGACCAGACGGATACTGCGGCAGGCACCTCTCAGGGAAGTTCACCTGCCCTCCGCCCGCTCCTGCAGATCAGCAGGAGCTGGCTGTGGTGGAGGAAGAGGGCGGCAGAGTTCAGCCTGGTTTCCCCCATGCGTTTGGAGACCGCGCAGGGCCTTCTGGCGCCTCTCAGCCGCTCGTGGCACTGGGCCCTAGAGCAGCGCCATGGGCAGCGCCGAGGCGGGAGCGGCCGGACGCCGCCGCTGCAGTCGAGCCTTGCCGGAGCGAGCGGGGGCGCCCTCTGCCGGCACCCCTCGGCGCCGCTCGGCGCCTCCGGGGAGCCTCGTCGCTCGCCCTACCGGCGCCGGGCGGCCGGGCTGTACCACAGCTCCCCTTCTTTCCGTTATGGTTCACTCCGACTGACATGCCCGAGGCGCTGAGGGCATGGGGACTGAAAAGCTGAGGGGAAGAGGAAGGCACTCGTGCCTGGCGCGGGCTCGGGCGCCATCTTGTGCGCACCGGGCGTGAAGTGCCCGGCTGCCTGTCTGGCGGCTGCTAAGCCCTCGGGAGAAAGGTGCTCCTGCGCCTTTAGGAAATTACGTGGTTTATCAGGAAACCATTTCTCGAATACTGCTGGGGCTTAATAGCAGTTTACATGCTCCTTCTTTTTGTTTACACTGCTGATGTGTCATTTACAAACGTGCCTAAGGGGTCTGGAAAAAAAAATAAAATAAATAGGAAGGTTAATCCAGGCTCCCACAGATTAGTTTTTCTATACATTGTATGATAAACACTGGATTTACAGCATCACTCACTGCACAGCAAAGTCCCAGAGGTAAAGCACCGGTAAGGGCTGTTCAAATCCTCATGTAAAGGCCCTTTACATTATAGGTAATTGCTGAATATATGTTTAATCCAGAAAAGCCCAGAGCACTCAGGCTTTGTATCAACAACCAAAAAAACCCCGAACTATTTTCCATCAGGTGTTAAGGCTTTAATTAGAATCCAGAGATCTGGCTTTAGGACATGACACAGAGCAATGGCCTTCAGGCCTTCTTTTGCTCCAGGCCATCTTGTGATATGAACTGTTCCGCACTGGTCTGAACAGCAGAATAAACCAATAATGAAACAACTCCCATCATTTATTGCTAACTACTGTCAGAAGCAGAACAGCTTCAGGTGTGGAAGATGAAACTGAGTTCTCCCTAAAAAAGGTCAAAACCAGTCATCTGGTATTGGCACTCTAGCCCAGATTGTAGAGGGGGCATCTAGCTGCACAGAGCTTCCAGATTGGAAATGCTTTTAGCTACTTCACTCTTTGGTGCCCAAGCCTCACATCTTTCCTTTGCCCATGTAGTGTTAGTGAGTTTCCACCAAGAAGTCTAGGCCTCTGAACGAGGTGATGTACTCCTGCAGACTGGGTGAGGAGGTAAGCTCCAAGGGGCAGTGGAAAGGAGCACCACATTCCTACCCCACAGGCAGTCCTTTGGGGTGAGGAAGCTTCAGCCAGCGTTGGATTCCCAAGCTGACTTAAGCCATTGGAGCAGTGTTCCCAGCAATGTAAGACGTCTCCTGTTTGCCATCATCCAACTTTCTGGGTATGCAGAGACACCAAGGTACTGAACCCTTGCTGAAATCCTTGAAATTAACATCTCAGATTAGCTGGAGACAGCCTACCTCTCACCAGGCCAGCTCCCAGCATCTTTGCTCTTTAGCTCTAAAGCAGATGCCTCCCAGCTGGTTTTGAGGTCTCTTAAACTGTCTCCCTCCACTTATTTGCACAAACTACCTGGTAAGCTAAAATCCCACTAGATGGCATGACAGTTTAAGCCCTTTATTACTATCCAAACCACTTCAGAGCAAGTGCCCTGGAACCCCCACACACCACGCAGGGTCTGGGGCTTATGCTCACTGAGCACAGCAAATACAGCCTGTGCGAATCCAGTGGAGAAATCCGTGCAGAAATGTCCATTCAGTTCCTTTTGATGGGCTTTATCACACATAAAGCACCACCAGCAGACAGGAAAGACAAATATGAACTAGGTCTAAATAATTTTCTAAACCTTGTTTCCTCTTTGTTATAAAAATTCCATCTTGGCTGTAATCTGATTTACTTAATTTTTATTACAATTGATTAATATCAAGAGGCAATAAGCGAGCAGCGCTGGGTGCGCCAGGGAGTCTCCGCTCCACCCAAGACGCACACCGAGATTTCTGGGGTACAGTCTCTTACACTCCTCGGTCTTGGGTTTCAACCAATCCTGTCGTCTCCTTCGTCCGAATATCGACGTGGTTCCATTTCATTGTTCTCCTGTTGCTGGGGTCTTATCTTTGGGTGCAGAAAGTTCTTAAAAAGTTATTGAATTCCTTGGCGATACATTAACGGGGGACGTCTGTCACAAGCTTAACCACTATCTTAGCCCCCTAAATTCAATTTCTTATATAGTTACTTGCTCAATACACCAGTTTCACCTCATCCTGTAACAGGATGTTTCTCTTGATTACCTAACCCCCTTAAGGCATTCAAGTAGTTAAACAAAGTACCCCTTAAAGTAACAAAGCTTTTGATTAGGAAGGATTATTCCTTTGTTTCTTCTTCTCTTTCATCATTGTATTGACAGGAACATCTATCATAATCTGATCATTCTTATACATTCTACATGATACAATTATTTCAATGATTTTCGATTCCACCCAAAGTACAATGATGACAAGGACTCCTAAGTTGCTGACACGAATCATTCCTATATTCCTCACACTCTTTCTATGTGTGATACATAAAAGATACTTGGAACACTGACGGTAAAGTGTAGTTTAAACCTGTTCTAGTCACTGCTGTGCTGTCATTTTTAACCAATGCAAACACAGTTATATTATTTTGTACAATCACCACTTTATGAAAGCTGCACAACACAGAAGTGGCTACTGTGGCTCAATTTGTGGGTTCGTATAACTAAATACGATGTCTTGGACAGTGCAAAAATGTATGATGTTTCCCTTGATGTTGCCCTGTTGTCCTTCAATAGGGCAAACATATATGACTAGCTCTCTTGCATCCAAACATTTGTGTTCCTGGACTTTCTGAGTTGGGAGAAATTTTCTGTATGATTAGTAACTCGTAACTTTGAACTAAAGTTAGATACAATTCACACTGTATTTAGTATAAAATCAGTCTTTGTCTTCAATGACAACTAAGCCTGTCCTGTACATTGCTGTACTGTCAATGATTTGGAAATTTTGGTTAAAATATACCACTTTGCAAACTGCTTTGTCACTTATTTTATCCATCCAAGCTCAGCCTGTGCAGTATTATACCAGAATGATTGTATATAGCACAGGTGGAAATAGCTGTGTGAGGAATCATAGCAAATGGGCTTAATTTAAAAATGCTTAATTACTTCTCTTAATCTATCTAAATGAGAACATTCTAATGATCAGTCCCCTACCTTGAAAACTATTTTGTCCTTTATTGCGTTCCAGATAACAAATTGAATTTTTCTGGTTTATAGCAACAAAAGATGCACCTCAGCATTTAACCTACTTCTTACACAAAGCTTCTGATGGACTGACACAAAGAAAATTACCTTCCTAATAACATGGAAAAGATTGAGGCCAATTTTCTGTATATTCAAAGTACCCAAATTGTTTTATATATGCACAGTGAAGTTACAAGGGTATTTCATAGCTTTTTTTTCCTTTTAATATGCAGAGTGGCTAATAATGAATAATTGCTTCATTAAGTTCTAAAATTTGAAGACAACAAACTTACCTTTTTTGCTTGGTACTGAAAATGAATTTCTTTGCTCTATAAAAGCCCAGGATAGTGCTGCAAAGTGGTGAAAAAGATGTAATTACCTGTGCCATACTTGCTGGAGTGGAAATTGGGATTAAAGCATTATAATACTGGATTAGCCTTAATAGAAGTTTGCTGCTGGAATTTATCAAGGTAATTAGGTATGTACCTAATTTTAGGCACTAAGAAGTTCTGTTGACTCCTATGAGATGTATGCATTTAAAGTTAAGCGTGTTTTAAAATACTCTGCTGATTCAGGGCCGTAACTTTGTTATCCTATGGATTAAGAGAATGCGCTGTCATCAGTTACCCTTAGCTGAGCTAATGGGAGGGTGGTATAGTCTGGATAATGGTTCAGACTGGATAAACAGGCTCAGTGAGAAACATATTCAGAAGCACTTCATTTGCTCCTTACAGGCTCAAAGTTTAGTGGGACTATTACCTACCTCCAAGATACTAACAAGAAAATAAACTAGAGCTTTCCCAACCTTAGCTGTGCTTGAGTTAGTTAGCCCTGTCTAAACCCCAGACTACTTGACAGCATGGCATAGAGACCCCCAGATAGCAATAAAATGGCTAGCTCCCCATTTGGCTGAGTCAAGCATAATATAGAACCAATAAATTCTTCTGGACTGAAGTTTATATGGCACAATCTCTCCCCCACCAGCAAGTGTTTATACTGATCAGAAGTACACAGCTGGTTCAGAACCATTAAGTTTTGTTTGACAAAATCCAGGGCATAACTAGATATTCCTCTCCTATGTCTGAACTTACTACAGAAAAACACTCTCATGCCGCCTAAACTAATAATTATTTAGACACAGACTGTACATTCATGTGGCAGAGAAGTATTTCTGCATCTGTACTGGTTAATCTGCAACTAGATAATACACAGGCAAATGAGGACTGTATAATATGTGTTAGAGATCAGAAATGTTCATCCCACTTTTAATTGAGTTTCGTTTTAAATCTTCTGGTTAATCTTTACTTCATATGAGGTTTTTCTATTTTCTGTGAAAATCCTTCCTTCTACACAGCATTTTCTCAATGACAGATTCATATAGCTCAAGTACAAAGTAAGCATCAATTTCCCAGAGTACTGAGCACTCTTGACTAGTTCTAAGCTGTATGTCTGTGAGCAGTTAACTACATGTAAGTAGACAGCTGTGGAATGATTTTTGTGTAGAAGTTAGCACATGAATAATTTGCTAAATTCAGCTGGTTCATAATAGGTGTTTTAAAAGTAAAAAACTTGAAAGCATCTTAGGCTAACAAAATAGTTTAAGTATCTATTCCTGTAACCCAAATTTCAGTGACTGTAAGAGAAAAATCTAAATACATCCAATGCTGCAATTATGGAAGAAAATTCAATATAGGCCATGACCCAGAAGAGCACTTTAGCATATGCTCCACTTAAAGCGTATGAAGAATTCTGTTTCAGTAATACTCAGCTACTTGAGTTCCATGGGATCATTTTAACTTCCTAAAATTGAACAATTTTATGTACCGTGATGCTATAAAGCAAGCTGGTACATGAGAATGGGACTGCAAATCAGAACAAGAGAATGTACCACAAATATAGCTAGCTCCAAGTCCCTCTCCATTGCAGTGTTCAACGCTGGTCTGCCAATTTCAGCTAGTTCAATCACTCAGACTTTCTTAAGCCACCTGTTTCGCTCCAGTGGAGTAGGTTATTTTACCTTTCCAAACCTGCAAGTAATTCTGGGATGTTGCACTTGTAAGATGAATACAAGTAAGTGGAGGGAACTATGTGTGAATTCAGTTGGATGAAACTGAATCCTTTACTGAATGGTCCCTAGAAGACAGAAGTGCGTGAGTAAATAAATGCACAGCAGGAATGGTAGGTGTGTAGAGAGACCTTTTAAAAGCTTTCTGCCAGCTATCAAATACACAAATATTTTAGAGATGGTATACCGGTCAAATGTGGAATGTACTCAGAGATGCTTTCTCCATCTGGCTGCAGCCCAGCAGAGAGATTGTGGGGGCAAATTAAAGCATTTGATTGTCAGTGTTGGTTAAGTTTCAAGAAGTACATAAATGGCTGCTGCTCCAGGCTGCAGTAAAAGGTGCATGTCTGTACCTTAGGTCTAGAAACTTAGGTCTCCTATAATAAGGGAATGAATGCTAAGTATTTTCAGGAGCATGACCTCCATAATAAAACAGTTCCTTTCAGCAGAGAAAAAAAAAAACTTTGCTTAAAAATCTTTGTAAAAATCACAGTGACTGAAACATCTTTATTGTCAGCAAACCATTAAAGCAAAAGCCATATGAAATAAAAGAAATATGTATTGTGGGGTTTTAAGTCTTGTCATACAGAAGAAACATAAAGGAATTAAAAAAAGACAGAAAATACCATAGCTATTTAATTTCCACAGTGAGATTAAACAATTTTCATCACTTACAAACATGACTACTTTATTTTAGATACACATGAACAGCTAAAATATCCAGCTTAAAACCAGAAATGATGGAAATATTAAGACTGCTAAGAACAGGAGAACTGAGATGACTTGACATAATCAAATAAAATTTAAAGAGAGTTAGAAAGCAAACACTTATGTTGAAGTAGTTTACCAAACCTTTTGGAAACAGGAGGAAGAGAGAAAAAAAGAAGTCTCTTTTTATTTCTCACACCCATCTACATATGCCTAATAAGAACAAAAATCTCAGGAGATAAATTACAGATAATATCTGAAATCTAATATATACTTAATATCACCTTAAGGTGGGGAGAGTGAATATACCTCTGTGTCAGAGAGAAAGAAGCTCTTTGGGGAAATTAAGAGACAGGATTTTTATTTTGAAGCAATCATTAGTTGGTGGTACATCTACTAGGTACATTAATTGAAACCGTCAAAGAAGACTAGTTAGGATGAGTACTATAACCTTGAGAAAACCCAAAACAAGAGATACGTTCTTTAGTTTTTTTCCCATTTGGATGTGAAGAACATTTGTTTTGAAGGATGGCTGTATAAAAAACAGTAGCTCCACATTAATGTCACCTAGGTACAAATGTGCTGCAAAATCTTGTCTGTGCTACTAAAGTTGCTACCACACTTCAGAAGGGGTGTCACAAGGAAACTGGAAAGTCTTATCAATCGGTTTCATTAATCCATCAGTCCTTAGGTGTTAGGAATCGCTGCTTTTTCCTTCCGCCTCTTGACTTTCCAGCAAGGCTTTGGATGATGACACTTCTCCACCCTCTGCTCCTTCATCTAAAAAAAAAAAAAAAAGATAGAATTAAATGTTTATACCACACACATTCTCACAGCTATTTTAATGCAGCCAAATATCTGCATCATTCACTGATCATCTCTGTTTGGACTGGCTTATTATTACCACACTAATGATGCTATAGAAACAGAGATTAGCTCAACAGATAAAAAACTTGTGGAGGCATTTTCCAAAAGCAGTTGCCTATTGATGTTGATTTGCCTGCTCTTTGCACACACTGATCAATGTGCATTTGGTTGTAAGATTGGAGATAACTTTTTATTATTGTTATTCTTTTTTTCTGGGTCATTTCCAAAGTCAAGTTAGAATACTGCATTCCTCTGAGCATTGCTTGGTTTCAAGTAGATAACATCACAGTTTATGAACATGCCAGCTATCTGGCTGACCTTCTCTGCCAAGAAATACCCAGGAGAATTCACCCTGTCTTCACAAGATGAGGGAATTTTTTTTAAGTCCCATTTGGAAGTTCACTCTTCCATACGTTAGAGTTTCATGCTTACATGACTAATAGAAGTAAAAGCTCTCCAGCATACATGGTCACTTCATGGAGTTAAACATCATCACTTCTGATGCTCAAATTCTCTCACTAAGAAACAGGAACACCTCTTGCATTGATTTCCTTGCAAAGCATAACAATTTTCCAGACAGCCTACAGCTTTTGGGGCAAGGAGAAGTCTGCTCAGCATATCTGTCTGAATTGTCTTCAATATTAATAGATATAATCTAAGAGGGTGTATTTTCAGCTATTTGCCCTGGAGACTTTGCATAAAGTATCACAAACAGACAAAAAAGTTATATAACTTGGTATGTACATATCACAGCAAATATATAATACCATACGCAATTCATCAGCTAAAGCTCTTAGCAGAAACCACTTGGAGCAAGTCTGCTCAGAGGTTTGGAGGCTTCAGAGTTTTATACTGGTAAATTAAAAATTGAGTTACTTTGACACTCTTCCATATTACATAGCACAGTACTGTTGAGGAAAGGGAGACAGAACAATCTCCTCTATTGGCCGCTTCTATGTGAGGTTGTATGCTTAATATTAGTGCAGTATAGACCAGTAGAGCTTCTTTGTTCTCAAACTTCTTGCAGGCTCCTCTTCAACCTTTTGATCATCAGTGACACCAATCGACTGTTTAACATGGTTCCACTTGTGGCCTCCCACCAGACCACCTGTGGAACATCTCCAAACCTTACGCACCATCAGAGGATGATCAGGCTGCATACAGATTGTCTTCATTTCAGAGTTAGGCTCTGTGATAAACAGCTAGTGCCGAAATCTCTCCTGTTCATCTCATGAGAACATTAAGTTGGTGCAGCTTGCAGAGTACATGGAAATTTATATCACATAGCTATGAGCTTTGTATATGCATAAAGAATAAAGCAAAGTTTCTTTTCTAAGCCAGACAAAAGGTATTGGCACATCCTGTTCCTGACCTTTCCCTATGACCGCAGCTGACAGCATTTTAGAAAGAGGGGAAATATATGATCCAGTGAGCATTAGCTAAATTTGAAGCAAGATGGAGAGAGTTCTCCTCACCATTTTCCATAATCTTCACTGAATCTTTTGGAGTAAAAAAAAAAAAAAAAAATAAAAAATAGGGCATACTATATATAGCCGCATGTTCCATCTTCTCCACTTTTCTCATTTATCCAGCCTCTTTGTTCTGAGCTAGAAATGGCTTTCATTTTTTTTACAACTTATTCTTAAAGCCAAAATCAACCAAAAAGATATGCCTGTTAGAGCCCCAAATGTTTCACAGTTTCCCTGTCCCAGCATTTGAACTTCCAAACTTTCTTTCCATTTTAATGAATTCTCACTCCTTGCTGTCTCGTCAGTAGTTTAACTTACAACGCAGCAAGGCTGTAATTCCCATCTAATACATCTGGAATTCCTAATTCCAAAAAGCATTCTATAGTAGTCAGAGTGGACCTTAGTGTTTCCTGTATTCACTTCCTATTATCACTACCGCAAACTGCTCATAACAGAAACCGCTCTTTCAGGGCACACTCTGGCACAGCTACATGTCAGTGACAAAAGCAAAGCATAATTCCATTCTCTTAACTGTCCTTCAAATCCTGGCCATGCTGGTCCTTGTATTTGTAAGAAAGCATTAGTACATTTTGCTGTAACTATTGTAGCTGAGTTTCATTTCTTCTTAGTGCATTGTATGGGCATTAGAAAATGAGGATTATTCTGTCTGGAGGGCTAAGTACTTATTTTATGCTTTGCTGTTTAAAATTTCTGTAACAAGACTTTCACTCTTTCATGTTTATTTTTATCCAGGGAGAAAAAAAAAAAAAAAGAAAAAGAAATCTTGCACGCTTTAAAAAGTATATTTTTTTCAACTACTAAACATTCTAGATGCCAAATTGAAACAAACATGAAGATCTTATCTACAGCTCTTTGCTTAACATGGGTAACACTGTGTATCTCCCTCAAGGTTCACTGCTATTAACAATACACATAATGCAGCACTGAATATTTCAGTGGGTTGGACCAGTCACTGGTGAACTTCCACAGCTCCTGACACTAATAACAGTATAAGTTCTCATCTACCTCCCTTCTGATAAGGGAAACAGTTGTCTCCTCTTGGAGTTTGACTGTGCCAGGCAGAATAGCTATTTGGAATAAAAAGAACACCATAATATTTGAAAACCAAAGCAGTAAATATTAAGTGACTCTGCACTTTAGGATGGATTTCCAGTGCTCCAGTTGCACACACCAGGAGAAAATCTGTATGGACATACTTCTCATATTCCTAGGGAAAAAGCTCTGCTCGAAACAAAGGAGTTTTAACTGGACTCACAGGGCTCCTAGCTTTACTTTAAATGTACTCTGACATCATGCCTGCCATCCTTCCTGCCTGCTCTTTCAGATTATCCCAGTTCCTCTCAGTAATGTCCTGCAGCCTGAGGGTATCTGAGTGTGTCATCTTTCCCTTTTTTTTTTTTTTTTGCTTTATGTCCACCCTCTCTCCTTCATAAATCTTTGCAATTTGTTTTGCAAAAGTAGTGTCTCCTTCCAGCATCCACTGAGATTCTTATTTTCCTCTCTTCCCAGGTTCAAGCCTGGAGGTAGTCATTCGGTCAGTTCTCACTCCTCCTAGTAATGTTCTTTCTACCTGCCAAGCAGCCATTTAGTAGGCTCATGCTGGGTTTAAATTACAGAACCCCAATAAACATAAATTAAATCACCAAAGCAAGAACAACTTTAAATCAAAGGAATTTGCTGCCCCTCAGCCTTTATGGTGCTTCATGAGTCTGTAAAATCAACATCCTGTAGCTGCTTCAGGCAACATACAAGTAGGACACACATCCTTGGAGCCTGGCAATCCTTCTTATAATTTACTTCAGATTCATGGGCCATCCACTATACTGCACCTGGATGTGGGCCCACCAATTGTGGTGGCATTTGTCACAGAAGCAAGAGTGATGGGCATGAGAGAAAAAAGTTACTTCCAAATCAGAACCTAAAAAAGTAGGAGCAACACATGCTCAGGGCAAACCTTATAATTCTCACTTCATAGGCATTAGAAAGCAGATTTTCCTGAATCTGAAAATCCCCCTGAAATCCTACCCGAAAGTAAAAAGTGAATCTGGTGTTGATTAGACTTGTGCTAAATCCAAAACACCTTATCAAATTAAAGGATATGGCAAAATAAGACACTGGTCTCAGACAGCAAAATTTAAAGCCTACCAGCAGGAGTAAATTACTGTAAAAACTACTCTTAATGTATATGCTTGAGTTAGGATAGCTGTAATTGGATTAACAGCATAGCTTGCTGTCTTGTGCTAAATTATCTCAGCGCAGGAGTAGACTCTATAGCTGGAGTAGCGTGTTTTTAAGCCACCCAGCAATGCAACTGTGTTTGCTCTTCCTCAGGGGAACTGAATTCAGTTCCCAGCACCTTTCCCCAGGCTGCTGAATACTGAATCTGTAGGTGGATATGGCAGACTTAGTCTGGGTTAAAATTAACTTGTCTCATCAGGAGGTACAAGTGGCAACTCTTTGTTGAAGGTTGAATTAAATCCTAAATGAAAAAAGAAACATTAGTATTGACATCAAAACTGCAAAGTGGCGGAAGTCTTGAGAAGAAAGCAAAGGATGACTGCATAAAAATGTCAGTTTCTTGAATGTGCAGCCATTACCTTCTGAAACAGAGAGCTCAGCCAGTTTGTGTGGCAGGTCTGAAGTCCCAGCACCAGCAGGAGAGCCCAGAATATCTGGTAAGGCATTCCGGCGGCCTGCCCGTCCTGATGCTGCAAAATCTGTGACCACAGGTTCCACATCAGTCATTGCTGACTCCTTTCCTCATAGCAACATCTGCATATGCAACAAACAAGAAGAGAACAGCTGTAGTCTGGATGGATTCTAATCACCTGCTCAATAATGCAATAGTCTTTGCCCAGTGAGTCTTTTGTTAGTAAAAGCCGTACATTTCAATACTGAGTGCTTAAGCTTTTTTTTTGTGCCCCAGAAGAAGATAAAAGAATCTCTGCACGGTGCCACTTGCACATCAGACAAGCGCAATAACAGCTCTACACCTACAAGAAACCTTGTGGATAGGGTCAGCAACAGCCCTTTCTGCCAGCCACTTGTATGTCTTTTTATGTCCTAATCCCTCTTTTTAAGTGGTTTTGTCATATAGCTACTTGGAAGGGAGCTGCAATTCTATTTTGTCATACTGTCTTTGTGAAGCAAAGAATGTTTTCTTTATTATGAAACGTGTTTAGATTCTTGTTTAGAATATTGCTATAACAAACTCCTTTCACAAAAGACCAAATTATATAAAAAAACCCCAAAACTGTCAAAACCCAAAACTTCATAAAATTTCTTCATTCTGCAGATATCAAACCATTTGTTTTCCTCTGCTCCTTGTTAGCTTAGTTTAACTTCAGCTTGTGCATGTGACTTTTATATATAATAAATAACTGAATCCTGAAATAATAGAACCAACAGTGCTCTGCTTCCTCAGTCTCTGTCTCAAAGCCCACTGAACTAAATGGGAAAACTCCTGCAGACCAAAATGGACTTTGGATGAGGCACAGAGGTGTTTGCAGGATCACACCCCAGAGCATCAGTTTAAGTGAGAACACCTGAAGCCAAAGCTGATGATGCTTAGCTGCAAGTGGCACACAAGGACAGTGTGTGAAAACTGCCATTAGCAACTGTATTAAGAATCATGAGACTGTCGTACCAGAATTGTACACAATATCTGCTAGTTAAGGGCATAATTTCTCATAATTAGACATGATTCACTGAATTAAAAACAGTATTTACTTGCTCTATATGAATACAGTTTTGTGTGCAGTGTGGGAATAGGAATATTGTCTGTGTGTAAATATGGTCACTGCTTTGTGTGGAAAGGGATGCAGATGGGGCCAGAAACCAATCCAATGGAAGGCTGTCAGTTTTGGTTGACAACTGGCTAATAAGAACTGGATAAGAAAAGTCTGACTCATTTTAGTGTTGTCCATATAGAAGCAAAGCATCATAGTCCCTTTTTGAAAATTCTACTACAGTTGGGAAGTACCAGTGCTTTCATTTAATGGACAGAAAACCCAAGACAGAGATCAAACATGACTTGCTCTGATACGCAGGAAGGCAGGGGCGGAAATGCGATTACCGATGCTGACCTGGCATTCCCACCATAAAGTACATTTTCCTTTTCTCCTTTTAAGTGCCTTTCGGCTATGTGACTCTATCAAGAAGAATAAATATCCCTAATCATCTTTGTATCTCTAAATGCTTTGTAATAAAAGAAATCCGACTCTTCTTGGCAAGAAACAAAGGCATGAGTAAAAACAGCAAGCCTGAAAGATGAGCATCCAAATAAGCACTTTATTTAGCTAAAGTCAATAACTGTAAGTTCTGAGCTGGAGATTCAGGAAAAGTTCCTGTATTGCATGAAAACAGTCAAGTACAAATTATCTCTTCTGTAAGCAGCAAAAATATGAAAACTATACATGGGCATTCAAGAATGCAACTTTGAGAAAATGGATAAAATACGTGTATCAACATTCTCTGTTAGATTTAGCATTATACTATGTAATCATTAAAATGGGTGAGGTCAGCATTTAACAAGAAATGTCAAAATCAAGAGAATGAATCCATATTTACAGACAGTCTCATGGCTTTTTGTGGGTGTTCATATTTACTTAACTGTAGGTGTCCTAAATATATTTCTCCACATGCTCACGAGAACAAATAAGGAGGCCATAGATTGCACTTCAGAACAGAAAATACTCAGGATCTCCTTTTGCTTAGTAAAGCTGTTAAAATTTGTTCCTAGTGCCAAAACACCAGTGTTGCTGCAGTTCCAGCCATTTAGTTGGTGAGACAGAGCTGTTGTTCTATTAATCACAAAAGATTTAGGGAATGACATTAATATTAAAACACATCAAAGACTGTCTCAAACCTGTCTTGTGGGATTGGTTTTGTTATTTTTTTTTTCTCTTTTTTTGTCTTCTGCATGAATGTTTTGGTCCTTGAACGGTTACCTTTTAAACAGAGAAAATCTGCTCTAGAACTGGTGCAGTATGAAACTCAACTCTTCTGTAATATAGTTTCATTTTACCCACCTTGTGCACTTTCAAATCCCTCCCTTTCTTCTCCGGCTCATCTTTCTCCCCTGAGGTAATGTCCCTGCATTGCATAATACTAGACAACCCAGGAAGGTGATGAAGGACACAGTCTGACATGCTTTCATGTTCATAAATTTTGATTTACACACTTGATTTAAAAAGTGTGCAGAGACAAACCTAGAACATCTGTCACACAGAAAATCAGCTGATCATTATCCATGAGTCTGGTGGCTATAACTCAAATGTAGCTATCTAGAAATAATAAAAGTATACCATCTTTTATATCTGCAGCTGTTACCATTATGTTTTCACCTTTGTTTTTTCTATACTACACTTAAGGTGCTAAAGACTAAAGAGAAGACTGATTCAAAAGTTAATGGCTACGCATTGTGCAAGCACATGATGTTCTCTAAGTGTATTTCAAAGTTGAGGGAGTACCCCAGCAGGCTTAGAATTGACATTATAAAACAAAACTTACGTCCATTTAGGTCCATATAAATCAAAATTTAAGTCCATGCTGTACCTTAGATTAATGGCATTTTGTTCTTTAATGTTCTAAAGGCATTTCTTCAATTTAATTATGATGCTCTCTTATAATAGCATTTTCTAAGGACATCCAGGCCAGGATGTAGAGTTTCTCCACTCTTCATCTGTTTGTAACTACTTTTTTTTTAAATATATCCGTCAGGAAATAACTATCTTTTTGACATCTTCTTGCATCTATTGTGTGTAGTATTTACCATGCTTCCTCACAGAGTAAATAACAATCACAGTATGCACATCATCTTCTTTCCCAAATCTACTCCTCCCGCTGGCAACATCTTCAGCTTCACTGAACTTGTTTTACTGTAACCTTATCCAAGCTAAAAACACTTCCATCGTGCCAATGCCTGCATGCAGTTGCTTCTCAGATTCCAAGTTAGTCATTTTTCTCACGTCACTGCTCACCAGACTAATGGTACAGAGCTCCGAAAGAAGAGAGACAGATTTCCAGTGCAGAAAGTTCTGTACTTTCCTGGCTCACTTTTTTCCATAGCAAAAAACAGGCCACCTAAAAGCAGAAGGGGACTGGGTGGAAAACAGTTGAGATATTGAAGTACAGTTCAGATTGAAGAACAGTTCAGATACTGAAGTAAGTGTCCTCGGACAAAGCAATGGAAGGTAAACTACCAGTGGGATTTTCTCTAAGCAGTTTGTTAATCTTTGAATCTTCATTTATTGGCAGCATAGCCAGTCCCCTGGGGGGAAATGAGTCACAGAAGCTGGTGAGAATTTATTTAAATAAATGACAAAGGAAAAGAACAAATAAGTATCCTGAAACGATTTGTGTTGAGGCTCAAGGGAAAAAATGCTTTGCGGTACTCAGTTATAGCAGGTGACAGAGACCACATTAAATGTCAGTGCTGTCTCTTCCTCACCCTATCTGTTAGAAAGTAGATAAATCACCACCATATGTATTTGTGAAAGCTCTTTTTTCTTCTGATCTTTTTACTGTCTTACAAGGAGACAAAATACTGCTTTTCTACTTGGAAGGACAAACTATTCCCTAGGAAATGTCAAAAGATTCCCGACACTGGTATTGTTACAATTCCATACAAGCAACTTGAAAACCCAACACATCTTGCCGCTCAGGCACTCCTCTCGAAACCTCTGCTCTTAAGCCTTATGAAGTCTCTTGCACTATCAGAGAAAGATAAACTTCTCTAGAACTGTTTCTGTTGAATGCCCCTTAGTAGGAACAAAATGGAAAACATTAAATCATCTCAGAAACACCTGAAAAATACAATAGCCCAGCAGGACTTTTAGATCCTGACTGATTGATTTTGTGTCTTGATGGTCTCTTACTGTAAGATGCATTTCAGTATATTACTATATTCAGAAGGAACCTTAGTCCTTTCAGTTGTGTTTAGTTTTTTATTTACTTGTAAGTAATGTGTTCTCCAAGCACCTTTACCCCAAAAGCTTGTAGTTTCTAAGAGAACAGAAAACTTATTGAATGAAGTGCCTCCCGCTGTGCAACTGAGATGAAAACCACATCTCCTTGCTATGCAGTTAACGCACCTTCATATCCTCTTCTACTGCAGCTGCATCCTGGTGGCTTTGCCTCCTCTTCCCAAAGATCTCAGAACAGGAACATATGTTTATGTAGTCCTTATGCTTTAATCTGAAGCATTACTGAACCACAGAAAAGGAAAAAAGCTAGGAACACCTTTTAAGGGAGACAACCCATGGATTATGATGATGATGACTAACAGTAACCTGGGCACTTGCACGACAACTTTTGTGAGAAAAATTTGTTACATGGTTGGGGTTTTTTTTGACATTCATAACATTTGTAAGCCATTCATAAGCTTAATACTGGGAAGCACACAGAAAAATAACCAAGCAGTCTTTGCTGTATCTGTATCAAACACAGGGGTTTCAATTCTGTTTGGAGCCTAGGACAAGAGATCACACATTTCTTAATACACAGAAGCAAAATATCTAACTACATGAAAGTTCTAAGTTTTTATCATTTTATCATTTAATGTTAGATGATTTGGGTTTCCTGTACCAACAGAGATGGCCTCTCTAGTGCCTGTTGTCTGACAAATTCACGAGTTGCTTTCCCATACAGGGAAAGTAAATTATATTTCATCTCAGTAAATCTACAGTGCAGAAGCATGTCTGAGTCCTTCTGCATCTTCTGTCCCAGTCTGGATGTTACAGCACATACAACACATGATATTTGGAGGATGA